GGAGGTAGGGAAGGTGCACAGGGAGTGGGAGAGGGAGGAGGTAGGGAAGGTGCACGGGGAGTGGGAGAGGGAGGAGGTAGGGAAGGTGCATGGGGAGGTGGAGAGGGAGGAGGTAGGGAAAGTGCATGGGGAGTTGAAGGCTTAGGGAATGAAGCTGGAGGAGTGGGAGCCCAAGTGCCTCTTATCACTGGCCAAGTACCCTGGGAGTTCATCTTCTGAGAGGAGAGAGGGATTCAAGGTTTGGAATATCTGTGGGCAATGAGGAAGAGAACATGGGAAGGAGACTGGGAACTTAAACATTTGAACTCAGACCAGACGGATAATTAATTGAACTGTGCCTAGGGATGGGGTGAGGTCTGAAGGGAAAGAGAGGTCCTTCTCACTCAGGATGTGGCAATTTGATTTATCTTTCTTGGTGTGGAATACAGAATTATAGGGTAGGGAGAACTAGGTAGAGGCTCTTGAAAGAATAAGCAGGTGAGAGTGGCATTAACCAAAAAGTAAAACTTGGCACCAACAGTCCATTTGAGCCATAATTCAAGTGGTACAGAATTTGAAGGAATGAAAACAAAGCCCAGACAACAGTTTTTTTGTTTTGTGCTTCTCCGATTAAAAAAAAAAAAAAAGCTTAAAAAATGTTCTCAACGTAGACATACTTGCTATTTGGCAGCTGGCAGCTGGGAATTCTCAATTGGCTAGAAGTGAGTTTCAGGACAAATTGCCAACTGTGTCCCTTTCCCCCCCCTTCCTTGGGCAGGGCACTTGGAAAACAGTAAAGAAATAAAACCTGACCGTTTCTCTCCTTGCTTCCATTTCAAGGTAATCATTCTGTTAAGTCAGGGCTGCCAATAAAATGGTTAGTTTTCATGTGCAGTGAACTTTAGTTTTGTTCATTAAAACATCCCCAGTACTTTCAAGAACACCCACCACATGTTAGGTACAGTATTTGATAAATATTTACTGAACGAAAAAAGGGACAAATTTCTTTTACTTACGTCAGGATAATCCTCTTAAAATAGCTAGAACTTAAACCAGGATTTTTTAGGACCTTAAATTCTAATTTAATTAACTGTAATTTAATATTTCCAGATACAGTGGCTGAATGGTGCTGTAGGGAGTTTGAGGGAGATTCTTCTAAGGGGTATGTTGGGGTAAGAAAGAATCATCTCTTCTTGAAGCTAGATTAACCCAGGGGCTTCGCTCCACTTAACTTTCTAGAATCGTGCATAAAGACAGAGGGGATATGATTCAGAGCGAGCTGGCGCGAACACAGCACTAGAAATAGTTTCCTGGAGTTAGGGTTCCTGGAGCCGTGGTCTCCCTGGAAGGGTCAGGGGGTGCCTGCACCCGCTGTGCGGCTGTGCCGAGCGCCGACGTCCCCTACGCCTGAGCTTTGCCCCCGGCAGAAGGACCGAGTCTGCAGCTCCGGGTACCAGAGGCCCTCTGCAGGACACCTCTGCAGGACACCTCTGCAGGACACCTCTGCGGGACACCTCTGCGGGACGCGTCGCGCCCTCTTCGCGGGTGAAATTCAGCAGCCGAAAACCGCCAGAGAATGCCGCCGTATGCCTATTCCGACCTCTTCTGTTTTGGGAAGGGATTGTTTTAAATTTATTTTTATTGTGGTAGAACATACATAAAACCACTTTATCCAGTTTGAGGTGTACGTTTTTTAACATTAGACTAAGTAACACAAGAGTGTGAAATTAGAATTTGGACAACGACAAATGAAAGGGGGAGGGGAGCGTTCCTTCACCGGGGAACTTTGGGAACGTGCCGCGGACCCAAGCGACACAGGAATCTCCATTTTGTCGGGACCGGCCGGTCCTCGCCCGCTCCAAGGAGTCTGGTCGCCTCGGCCGCGCGGCCCCGGCCTCCCCCGAGCGTCCGCCCGGCCCAGGGAGCGCTCGGGGCGGCCACCGAAGCCCGGGCCGGCGGTTCTGAAGGCGAAGGGTCTCACCCGCTCGCACGGTTTGGAACTCGCGGCAGCCTCCGACCCTGCGCGGCGTCTTCCACCATCTGTTTGACCGAGGCTCCGCCTTCCAACCCCCAGGCTCCGCTAGGGGGCGCGCGCTCTAGTGGCGCCGCCGCGCGCCCCCGACCTCATTTAGGGTCCGGAGGCGAAGAAAGAGAAGCGGCCGGGCCCTGCCGTCCCGCCCTTCCCGCTGCGGCCCGCGCAGGCGCGCGCCGCTCCG